TCGACTTCAATTCTAATTTTATCTGTCTAATTAATCTCGATTACATTCTAATGTCTAATTATTAGAATTTCAATTGTGAACGTGCACGTTTCTCGACCAGATATTTTTCTGAGTGAATGATATTCACATAGACCTTTTTTAAATACCACGAGTGTCAGCAGAGTTCGCAAAAAATGACGAAAAAAGAAATATTTTACTTTGCCTATAAACAACATACGGACACTAATCTTTTGCGTTATCGCGTGTAAACATTTCCATTAACAATGTCGAGATAAAACGACGTTTCAAACAACCACGCCATATGAAATTTCTCATGTGGTCCACATTTTTTTTATTTTTACACGGATGAGTAACGTGGTATTTAAAACAAGAGATAAATTTTATATATTGGGATATTTTAAACATCAAATTTTGAAACGTAACATTAACTGCTTTTGACAGCGAAAAATTGGTAAGGGCGTTCACAAAAACATTTTATTTATTTATTAATGTGTGATGTGTTATCTTTTCGTGAACTTTTCGTGTTGAAACATTTATTGCAAGATTAGTTCCATTTTTTCATTTAACATCAACATGGTGTTTGTGTTAATTCCGTATACAAAATAAACGGCGGTAAAAAGAGAAAACTATCAAGACAGAAAGTAATTTGTTAAGATGTCCACATTGGCCTCTCACATAACTGAGAAAAGTGTTATTTCGTTGTGATATAATCAACCAGAAAAATCACGAGATCTGGACGTGTGGATCTCTGTAGATAAATTCTATGCAAATATCACTATCAATAATTTACCATTCATCAGTGAATTTCAGCAAACATAGGAAGTGAAACAAAATTGGTGCATTTTGAAATTGATTTCGTTCGATCACATTGGAAATTGGAAGTCGTCCTAAACAAGCGATTTCCGTAAATGCCGCCACTGAACAATTTGACATATTTTTCATGTGTTCGCTTCAAATTGATTTGAAGAATAGTCATTGAAGTTGAACATTTTTTCCATTCTGGCAATATATTATCCATTTCCTACAAATATACTAATCTGAAATTTTTGTCGATCAAATTCTGCTAATATATGGTTATATTGTAAATTCGTGAATCAATATACCAATTCTAATTTAGAACAAATAAAACATAACCACACGTCATTTGATTAAGAATTTTGTGCAGTTAATATTTAAAATTCTGTTTTGTCTTCGTCATACGTCACCTAGTTTTATTTCTTGCTATTTGACGACTTCACTGTAATGATAAAAAGAAATAATTTGATGCAGCTTTCAAAACTGTGTGCAAATTGAGTGATCTGTATTTTGATTCATTTTACGACGAGTACATATTAAAACAAAAAATATATGATAACAAGAGAGCTACGCCCAAATATATGGACACGTCTGTTCGCAGTACAGTACGGTTTACCGTACCGTCAGATCACAGTCTACAAATAAATTCACACCAAGCGAAGCAGTACAGTAGGACACAAAATGGCGTCCGATGTCCGCAGAAAGTTTAATGACGTCATAGCAAACAAAAACAAATCTCACAGAGCTAACAGAAATATTTAAAATGAATAAAAGTAATAGCCTTCTGGGGAAAATTTTATCTTCAACCACTGAAAATTTCCAAGCAATTGGTCCAGTATTCGAAGAGAAAAGCGATTTTTTTAAAAATGATGGAGACAAATAACAATAACAACTTAATTTTGAAACGATCGTTATGTCCACTACGTGTCCAAAAAGTGCGCATTGTAAATGTAGAAGCAACAAAAAATATTGTATTTGCTTTTCAGATTTGAAAAAAGGGCGTTTTTCATTCCACTATTGCATGTTAGTTTTTCAGCACATGTTGGGTAGTGAAATTTAAAATTTTGGTAGCACGAATTGGTTTCATCAATCTTTTTAAATATTTAAATCACAAATAATTTAATCTTTAATAACAATCAATACAAAAGTTAGTGCACGATTGGTGCTTCCATGCAAACGCCCTGCAAGCCCATGCAAATGTAATATAATATAACAGTAATGTGTATTTGTTGTTGTACATGAAATTACGATTTTTATCTGCGTTAATCTTTCATATAGTCAATTGAAATTCAACCACATAGCGTGGAGAAGAAACGACGTCATATTATCGACTAATGCAAACTAGAGTATAATTTCGAATCGCGCGATTGAATAAAAAATCAGAACACGATTAGAAAGTTTATCAGACTTATGACAAAATATACCTAATTTCAAGTTATTATCCCAATTCAACGATTTAACCACGATTTTAACAGCGCAAAGTTTGCAAAATCCTGTATAGAGTTTGCAGACAATTTCATTTATAATCGATTCGTGTAATGTTTAGTTTATACTTTCGCTGAGCTCATTGTGTGCGGCTATCTTATAGTTACCGCCCTTTAAAATTGTTGTTATGTAAATACAATGTCGAATATACGCAAGGTTAATGAAGTGCATCTCCATAAGTTGAGTGACCATTATGTCTATTTCTTACATGCTATATACGATGATCACGATAAGCCGATTAATTAGGCGCAAAATGTACCTCGTGATAATGATCGACCTACAATGCTGCATGCATGTGTCTGCGACAAGTACAAAGATTTCTATTTCTCCGAAATGATAACTTTTCGATTCAACATTAGGAAACAGACATAATATTTACACAAACAAATACAACTAAGCGAGTATAAGATAGAACCGCTATTATTTGCACAGACAAATAATCTCTTTCGTGAGCTAAAAGGCTAACATGAACTTTAAACCTGGATGGCATTTGGATTGTTTCGGAGGCTAATTTATTGAGCGCCAACTCAGCGGAACGCAAAGTGCTCTTGTTTGAATATCCGAAAAAAAACGTCCGATTAATCTTACTGGTGTTCATCATATTTGACATCGTATTGGTTTTTGTTTAGCAATGATGATTAGAGTATTTGTCTAGAGTATTTTGCAAGAAATAGCCAAGAATTAGCCAACTGTCAAAATACTCTCACCGTCACCGTTTGCTTAACTTTGTAGTACTTATCATAACTCATAACATATCATAAGATTCAATTTACTTTTAAACACTATGCTTGCCGTGATGAAGCGTTCAAAAGTATTAGTGAAATATGATGAACATTGATTAGTTTCAAATGCGCGAATTCAGTGTTTTACTGCCTGTAGGTGAACGAAAATGGTTGCCGATTTTGTACAGAAGAATCGAATCAAAAATAAATAAATCTTCGTTTATTGTATTGAAATGCAAGTAAAGGATTTAGCCAATTATGCAAATACGTAAGTGAAATTATTTTAATTTATTATCATTATTTTCTTAATTCGATTCTATAATTCATTCCAATTAACGAAATTTGGAGTGGAGCGCTATAATAGTATGTGCTGAATGTCGATGTAACAGTTCATGCAGTGTCAGCGCAGCTGTGTTTTATTCACCATGGAATAATTATGCGAATGCACGCTGCATCTACAAATAGCTTTTACGTAATGCAATTATACGGAACCAGATCATGTACATTCAGCATAATCTGTCATCGCCCTGATGATTAAATTTGATCCACTGAGTTGGGATAAGTGGTATTGGTATATAACTTTAGGCAAAGTTAGCTCAAACATATGAGGTTGGATCTCTGTAATAACTCATTACTCGCTGAAAAGTTTGAATCTACTGAACCGTTATATTAAAATTACCAACAGTGAACATATTCACAACATGCAGACAACATGCACGCTATATATGCGCGCATATCTGTAACACATTAATTTGGATGTGCGTTCCCAGCTACTTTTATTATTTTTTATGTACTTTTATTAAACTATCCATGGCACATTCGCCAGTGACCCTGGCATCCCCCAAGCAGGGGAAGGGAGGGGCAAAAACGGTATTTATAAGATAAATACAAATAAGAATTTAACCTAAATAAAGAATTGAATTGAACATGTAAAGGAATAACAAGTCAATATAAAAAAAAGTACGGCCTATCTAACTGAGTCAGCCCCTCAAAGAAATATAGAAAAGAAAATCACATGCAAATAAACCAATAACAAAAAAATTGTTGCGATGGGGTGGCAAACTCGTCGATGGGTTCTAAACATAGAGAAAATGTAACTGAATTACAATTACCGCTCGCCTTTACCTATCAACCTGAATTCAGAAACAATGAAAGTGGAAAAATTCGATGAAGTATCAGATTAAAATGAAAACAACCAAATTAATAGATTCCCGTGGAAAAGTACACTCAGTTACAATACACTCATACACTCAGTTATCAACTTATGAGGCATACGCGTATTTGATTGCGACAGGTCAAAATGAATTGACGATAAATTTCAACGCTGACTTATGTAAATACTCTGCTGTCAAATTAAAAAATTGTTTACAACATTGATGAACTTTTCTTCCGCGATACTGCGTTATTATCGCTTTCACGTGGATTAGACGAAATAACTCAAGAGTTATATTTCACACGCAACAATAAATCAAATATTCATTATCATTAATAAGTTTTGGTGCAAATGTTGTAGTCAATCCTTGGATTATATTCGTAGATTTGACATTGGCTAGAAGTCTTTATCCGTATAAATATTCATAGTATTACAAACATTATGTATTTAAGTAAAAGGTTAAAAAATTCCTTTATTATGTAAATATGGCCCAGATAATACCTAGCAGCCAAATTCGCTTAAATCTACATGATCAGAAGATTTCAAAAGCAACGAAGTCGCAAGAAACCCAACGTAAATGAAAACACCACAGTATGTCTAAAATTTTTGGTTTTCGTGATCGACACTTTCTTTTAAAAAAGCGAGTTGTGCAAGGTTACAAGTGTTATTTGAACTGATATGACCACTTTCTGAACGTGCAGTTTCCCAACAGTTTCCGTATAAGCTTGAGGTAGGTGGTGTTAACTTTAGCAAGGATATTTTCATAAATCGATGTTTTTCTCAGTCGAGCAAAGATTGTTTTGGTTTTTAACGACAATAATGAAAATAATAAAATGAAGACTCACCCCTGGCAAAGAACCCATGATAACTACGACGAGAAGAAACTTTACTATTCCTGAATATGGTCTTCGTTGTGTGTAAGGTCCGCTGAATTTTGAAGACGTGTGTCGTTCGTCAAAAGCCGCCACAAGACTGCCTCTTCCCTTCTCAGCTGTCCACGTATTTACTTTGACGCTGTTTTTTGTGCAATTTCTTTTATTTCTATTGTACCCTCGACGAAGATTTATTTTCGTTGAACGAATTTTCTGGTATTTCTTTAAGCCGCGCGCGTGACACTGTTCTCCAAATTCAACGTTTTTCTTAGCATCAGTGTTACCTACTTGACGCCCTCGAGAACCATTAGCGGCATCTTCTCTCCTTGTCGAGCTCGCGGTGGGAGTATTGAATAAGTAATCAAGCGGCTCTTCGGCGGCCTGGGAACAAACCATTTTAAATACGATAATGCAATTAATATCGACAAACCTAACCACTCCTTGGCACCTGGAAAATGAGAAAGATGTTTGTTATTGCAATCTTTTCGCTGCATACGATCAATAAAGTGTTTGCAGGGGGCATTTGGCAATCGGAACACTCATCGATGTCTTAAGACAAGTATGATATTTTATATTAAAATCATAATTTCATTTCGAAGCAAAAATAAAACATATTTTTGGCATTTTAAACAAGAGAATGTGCGTAATAACTGTTTTCGACATTTTAAATCTTGGTCGCGGAATCGGGATCACAATTCATGTATGTTTCATAAGGGACACGTTGTAAATGTCAACTATCGAACCTCATTATCAGCTTCACCCACCAATTATATAAAATAGTGTTATTTAACTATATATTGATTCGATTGTTTTTTGTATAATTGCAAATATTACATTTTGCTAAAATATTCGATCAAATAGGGAGGCGCAAGCTTAATCGATTGAAATTATTAAAAATTAGTTTATGTTATATTGGAATATCGTTAGCGAGATTACGTTAACGGAAATTGATGAGAAACGATCGAATAATCTTCAAGTAATCGTAGATTGGAAAAGAGCTGAGTTCAAGTTTTCACATAACTTGGTAATATGTTCTTTTACGACTCTTACCGATGAAAAGAGTCAACTCAAATATTTCTTTGTTTAAATGGAAATGATCATGTTGGCATCTTGGCGGCTTGCACACCCATATCCTATTCTTGATGGTCAAATTGTAAAGAGCTCACATCAGGTAATCATTATTATTTAAAATCAAAAAATCGAATGTATTGCTAATAAGCCTTGCATCGCACCATCTGTGTATGGTCGATGATAATGTAATTAAGTATATTGCATATATATGGAATCATTTTTGCAGTTATTTTTTCATTGGTTTATGTCATCGGTGTTGACTGTTTTCATTAAAATACAAAACTCCAATCCCTCCGGCGTAATTCAACGAAACCATATAGTCAACTATTGGAATGGCATAACCATGACTGAATTGGTAAACTGACTCGAGATCACTTAATTAAACCGTACGATGCACACCTTGGTGATAATGTCTTTAATATTTCATTCAGGCTGGTCATAACCATTTTTACCTGAAATATATCAGACAAATGGGCATTTGACTCCTCAGACATTCGACTTTTTTCAAATGAAGGTGGTATCGCGTTATCAAAATTGATAGTATATTATTTATAATTTAGTCTTCGAGTTTAAGTGAGGTCGCTTACAGAAGCTAAAAATTCGTTCGCTTTTCGGCACATTTGTATAAGAATCTACTAAAGCGAATTATTGGCCAAGTGGAGGTGGGGTACGGGGCGTAATTAAACAATACCAGAAAATGATGTCATCCTAAAACGTCTCGATTCTAGTGGAATATTACCGCAGAAATTGATCCTTACAAAAATCTTTAATACGCGAAACTATGCCATGACTAATCTGTTGTCAAAATTTCCGATTTGAACAATAGGTGTCAGTCAATGAACTGAACGTCAATGAGTTGAAAGAATTGTACAGTTCAGATTTGAACCTTGTAGTTTTGGGTATTTATATTTAAAGGGAAATAAATAGAGAATAATTCAATTAAATATGTTTCAGTTCCTAATTGTTCTTGTTTCTGTACAAATTTGATCACCACAATATTATGATCAACAGTGCGTGGTTAGGCATTTTCAAAAGCTCCTTTGCGAGCACTTGACAAAACATGATTTATTACTGAATTGCGGGAAAATAAATAAGCAAGAGATGCACGGTGGATGAGAAAGCAATGGCAGTACTTAGACAAAGAAACATTTCATTGGTATGGACTTTGTTGTCGATCTATTATGTGCTGAACCCGAATTAATTGGATATAAAATTAAAATTAGTTATCCTTTTTAGTAGTTAAATAAATTGAAGACTAATATGACGAAAGAAAAACACAGCATCAATTTATCTAACATCCAGCAAAAAGAACAGCAAATTTCGTTTCGCAAAGTGTAAACGTTTTCTCCGTGGCGCCCCCTGGAGATAGACAAAAGGTAAAAATATATCTACCGGATTCCGCACGAGGTCCAGATGTTTTTCTGAAACAGTAGCCGTTATGCTACTATGGCTACTATGGTTAATTTCTGCCAAAATATGGACTGATTGGTCGAACGCAACTTAAAGATGGTCATTTTTTTACCAATGACTAGGACTATATTTGAATTTCAGTTATAACAATCGAGTTTATAGCTCAATATAGCAAACTAGAAATAAATAAAGACGATTTTGTTTTCAAAAAATTTAAAATTGAACGTTAGAATTTACAAAATTAAATCACTTTCAGTGATCATCGTTAAAACGGAAGTAGCCTATTTATTTATACGACATGAGACGTTAGTCTCCTTTAACTGTAAGGAACAGTTTGTGATGATACGGTAAGATATTTTCCTATGAAAGGCGTTACCTAGAATAAACTAACTTAAAATAAGAATTCATAAAACAATATTTCTGATGAACTTTTAATACTCTAGGTATGCACCATACAAGAAATCTGGCTCCAACCATTAAATTCCTGAAATTCTAAATTTATTCCCCATGCCTACGTTCATGGGCATATTTAGAATTGTATACAGAAGGTATGTTGAAATCAAACGCAGATAAATTATATATCAAGAATTGGAATACAATTATTATTTCCATATACAATAGTTCGGTTTCGTGTATAGGCAATTTTGAACCTCTCATTTTTACCGGCGACTATAATAGCACAACGATAAACACGTCATTAAAGGTAAAACTGGAAATTAGTTCCACAATACTGGCGTAGAATAAAAAACATCTCACGCAAAGAGCTTTAAACACGTCCATTATTCACTTGGGTTATTTGTGGCTTAGGTGGTTGTTTAGTAGTATCATCTTATGAACGAAAATAGGTATATTTAAGAGCAAGCCGGATTGAATAATAATAAAAAATTTTCAATGAGCGAGAGCTAAATATTTTCTGTTTCTTTAATATGAGTTTTTTTCATTGAATAACATTTATACGAAAAGTTTGTTATTATATCTCCAATATTGACTGATACTTCTGCGGTATTGAATGAAAATTATTTTTTCATCCAAGATGTATACAAGGGTATCAGAAAATAGTTAAGGGTTTCCCTTTATCATTAGGCTGTTTTTAAATTTTGAGTCTTCTTTATTTTTTTTAAAATTTTTTGACTATATACATTACTTCTGATTGTGGTTTTATGAAGTATTTGACAATAAAATATATATACTTCTGGTCAAGCAAATATGTGATATATTGATAATGCGAAGTAGAAAACCAAACAAGATAAAGTTGTGCAAACATGACTAGCAGTGTTACAATTATAAAGATAATCCACTGTTATTTCTGAGTAATAAATTCTATTAATATAATCAAGGCGCAATATATATATATGCTAATAATATATATAAGACTAGTAAAGGCATGTAGGATGTAGCACCTACGAATGCCGAAATGAAAATATCCTTAGATATTAGGGTAATTCTCATGCAGAAAATAGAAGTCAAAATGTTATGCGTGTCAATAGGTAATATCAAAGATATATTCAAATGAAATCAAACGCATAAACGTAATAAATATTCGAATCTTCTTTATCCGAATTAAATTAGGGCCCAAACATTGACATTTAGGTTTGCAAATTTATCGCAATTTCCCAACTTTTGAATCTCCAGGTTTCATTATTGGCCAAAATTTGAGGCACATGTATGGATTGCGATTGACCACATAAAGGCGGTTCCATCAGTGCAGATAGTTTTCACTAAAGCTTCAAGCAAACCTCACTGTTTTTTTTGTATTACGTAAAAAAATGACCGCAAAATGTTCTTAATCCTTTAAAAATATTCTTTCCGTAAAATGCAATCTTAAACGCAGCGAAAAAATGACAACCTTCAATTACAGATCAATTACGCTACGCGGTCCCCTGCTATTTAAGGATTCGTCTATAATTATGCCATAAAGTTGACTAATTGGCAACCACCATGTGCCACCACACCTTGCGCTGTTTATACATCGACTGTTCGTTCAGTTTTTTGACGCCACTCTGTCAAATTATTGGTTTCAGAAGCGTTCGTGTATTTAAGAAAATATATAATTGGGGGTTAGTTGTGCAAATAATCTCCTGTCATGGGAATATTCTATCTTACCCTGCGTTGGTGATGTCATTCTTAACGTCTTTTCACCTAAAGCATAATAATATGTTTCTAGCTTTAGAAACTTCAAATTTTGTGGCTTTTGTTGTCCGACAGGTACATTGTTCTTCCCATATAATTTAAAAACTAATAAAGTAACTTTCAGATATTTATAAAGCAAAACAAAGAAATGTAACGATGTCTAATGTAATGAATATTTTCCACATCATAGGTGACATATATATATATATATATACATGTATATATACCTAAAACAAAAACTTTACAACATCTATGTTCCAAAAGCCTTGAAAATTAGCTTGATATTACCACGTACCTCGACAAAACGGGGGTTGTTTAGTAGGACTTTTAAGATAAAAGAATACATATCTACCTGTCCATCAATTCAACCTGGCTAATAATATTATAATATACAATACAAAGCTCTGTCAAAACACTTTGACTAATTATAAGCTGTTACCATCATATCTCTAGGTTATATTTTCGTCTGCGCACCATCACTATTTCCAATTGTGCGCTCACATATTTGAAAAGCAGTGTTGTTATAGGTAGATGATAGCTTGCTTATTCAGTCGGTCAGTTGGTGATTTTGCAAAAACATTTAATGCGAAATTGTGAGAATAAGATCCATCCACGTCAGAATAGATTTATTGACCAGTAGTAAGTATAATTATAGACATTTTCCATTCTGTATTACGAAAGAGAAATACATTTTTTAGATAAGTCGGAGGAAGTAACCAAATCAAGGGAAGCGTCAAGTATATCTAATCATTAATGTCTGCCAATATTTTCAGTATATATAAAACTTTTGCACTAAATGACTTCCACGACCAATGAATCTCAACAAACAATTT